GTTGTGTTCGAGTAGAGAGCCTTTATGAGGTTAATGTACTTCTTTGATACTCCTTTCACTGACAAACACTGCCATAGAACCTCACGATCAACGGAGTCAAATGTCGCCTTAAGGTCAAGAAATACTACTATTGTGGGACGTCTGAATGTATGTCCATGTTCTAGGATCTGACGTAGAGTGAATATCTGGTCTATGCAACCACGTCCAGGTCGAAAACCAGCCTGGTTTTCTCTAGTCTGCTCTTCACGAGCTTTGGTTAGGCGATTAAGGATTATTGAAGCTAATATTTTGGACACTATATTAGTCAAACTGATCCCTCTGTAATTGTCACAGGAGGACTTTTGTCTTTTCTTATAGACTGGCACAATCAGTGATTGGGACCAGTCAGATGGAATTACGTCCAGGTACCAGATTGTACCTAAGACCTCAGTCGATCTCGTTGCTAGTACTGAACCACCATCCTTGAAAATCTCAGGGGTACACCTGTCAGGGCCTACGGCTCTCCCTCGCTTTAGATGTCCTATAGCTTTTTCAACCTCGTAGAGAGTTGAAAGACTTACCTCAATTCGTCATTTAGGACGACTGGGGATCGTGGGTAACTGAAGTGTGGCTGAAGGCCAGTTGAACTGATCCCTAAAGTGTTCTGCCCATCGATTCAATCTCCTGGATTGAGAATGAATGAGATGCCCATCTTTGTCTGAGATAGTTTCGCTAATAGTTGAGTTCCTAATACCGGTTATTTTAGCAAGTCTGAACAGTTGTCTGCTGTTACCTATTGCCGCTGCCTTTTCTATCTCTCTTGCTTTCGCTACCCACCACTGTTCACGATCATTGCGTAGGCTTCTTATTAGCCTTCGCTTAAGCTGACTCCGCTCTTCGTTATGTTCAGAGCCAGGTCGGATGAGTTTTCGAACATCTATCAGTGTGGTAGATGCTGCCGAGATCCATTGTTTCTCCCTGACCTTATGACTTACCTTACCAGCGGATATCACAGCTGTTTCCACAGACTTTCGGATGTCATTCCACGCTGCTTCGGGGTGGGCACAACTTGCATGTCTGTCTAACTGTTTTTCCAGTTGTTCCTGAAATATATTCTTAGCTTGCTTATCATTAAGTAGACCCCTAAGAGGTTTCCGTGCAGTGTTTTTTTGCGTCCAGTAAGACACAGACAGATACGTGCTCGCACCAAAGTCGGAATGGACAACACCGAATATGAAGATATCATGGGACGACATGGACTGGGAGAGAGAAATGAAAATGGTGAGAGATTTGCAAATATATGTGCATTCAACAAAATGGTAATAGGCGGCACAATATTTCCATACAAACGCATAAACAAAGCTACTTGGGTATCACAGGACCATACCATAGAGAACCAGATAGATCATATTTGCATCACTAAAACATTCACAAGGTCAGTGGAAGATGTGAGAAAGAGGAGAGGAGCTGATATAGCTTCAGATCACCACTTGGCGGTTACTAAAATGAAACTGAAGCTAAAAAAACACTAGGCAACTGAGGAAACAGCATTACAAAGGTTCAATACAGATTTTCTCTGAAATACAAGCTTAATGGATTCAAGATAGCTCTCAGCAACAGGTTCGAAGCCTTACAAGACCTACTCAAAGAAGAAACTACTATAGAGGACTTCAATGAAGAGTAACAGGCGTAAGTAACTATGTGATGTGAAAGTTCCACACTGTCTCTGACCGACTGACAATATCCAAAGCACTAAACATACAACTGAACGCTTTTAAAAGTCAACCACTCACAGGAAGTCAAATCTTCGATGAAACGGGCATAAACTACAAACTCCAAAATTTAAAATAAGTATGAACTATCACGGATGTGCTAAATGATGGTAATACTGGCGATTATTTCCAAAAAACCGCAAACTGTATGTAACCAACTTTTTTCTATTATATTTTCTTGATTCCTTTATACTGAACCAACAAGGTGGTATCTTAGAGTCACTGCGTTTTTTAAAAAACGTAGTTTTAATTTAGTCATAATTTTCTCATATCAATAGCTTCATTAAAATTTGTATAAACTGATAAATTATTATGAAAACAAGTACATTTATCCAGTTAAATGTAATCCACCAGTAAATCATGAAGACTCTTACATAACCTTCTATGTCAAAGTTGTCGAGTTATTCTTGACGCTCATCAAATTCTATTGATCATCATAAATCGTAAAGACTCTCTCTTTTATTTAAGAAAATCTCACACTTATTAAAGTAAAATAAGAAAAGGCACAAACCTATCCAATAACCGATGGTTTTACTGAAGACATCTAGATTATTGCTCTTCTTTGTTTCAAATACTGAATTAATCTGAAAGAAAAAGTGATAAGGAAAATAGGAAATATATATCGGACCAAGTAAATGATAACTAACTTCAGACAAAACAAAAATATAATCTCTCGGAAAATTCTTAAGGTTTTTTTTATTTGAGTGTTTTATAGAGATTAATTTAGTCCAAGGAAATTTCCCAATACGAGATCAGACCAAATGGAAAGACTGTTGAAAATTACATCGCACTGAACAACAATTTCATTTTGATTCAGATTTTAAAGATGTTTGATGCTAAGGAATCCAATTGTCCAGTCTACTTTTAACATTAGTCAGTCAGTCAGTCAGTTACAACGTAGAACTTCGTACGTACGTACATCAGTTCGAGTCGCCATACCACATTAGCACAGAGATGAAGATGTCGATTCAAATCCCATAGTGGTAGAAGTAGTAAGAGTATAAGTATTATGTGAAAGATTAGGGTTTGAAGATGTTATTCAAGGAGTATAATACAGTGAAATAAATTTGGAAAGAGAAAAAGGACATATAATTAAGATTAGAATTTGGGAGAACACAAAGAGTGGATGCACCTTCGCCATTGCAAACGATTTTGAGCCATGTCATTCAAGGTCTCTAACCATCGGTTGCTGTCATCTCGCGAATCCCAACCAGGTAGTCTACACCTACCAACATGGCCCAGTCCACTTGTCAGCGACTTCATGGATTTATGCCACGTTTTGGTCTGGCCGCCCCTAGCTTTCTTCCAACCTGCTCCTACACCATAAAGCATTGCACGTCGGGGCAGTCGGTAGTTGGGCATACGTAACACATGTCCCAGCCATCTCAACTGATGAAGTTTCACCACTTCATCAATCGATTTGCCATCCTTACCTAGTATCAGTTTCCCAACAACTGCATTACTTACCCGGTGGTCCCAGGATATACGAGCAATGCTTCGAAGACACCTATGATCGAACACTAGCAGCCTACGAATATCCTCTACTCTTATAGGCCGTGTTTCACTGCCATATGTGTATTCTGAGTAGATTGCCTCGGTATTTGAATTCAGTTACAATAATTTTTAAATAGTATCCGGTAGTGACTGCCAATAGAATCCAGGACGTGAGTTTAGTTCTATTTGGGACTTGTCAGTTGGATGTACTTGCACCCGTATATTGATGTTCAATCCAGGACTAGAACCCACACAGAGCTTTTCAATTCAAACGCGTTAGGCTACACTTATAATGTTAATACATTATGAAAACAGTAGAATAATTCTCATGCTACTAAAAATGATGATTTAAACAATATTTGAAAGATTCGTTTGAGATAATCAACTTGCCATTTAATACTGAATTTATCAACATTGGTTACGTAACTATAATTTAAGAAAGGGTATGAAGACGATCTAACAATGTATCCTAAAAAACAATAGACTTTTTCTATTTCTTAAAAGAGGTTACCAATGAGAAAAGAAAGCCATAAGAAAAGTTGTGATGTATATTTTTCAAAAATTGTATTTTTTTTAATGAGTATTCATAAAATGTGACACTATTGGAAAGAAACGACTTATAGAATCACAGTTCAATCAAGCTAATAACAAAATTTGGCTTTCATTCAAGCTTCATTAAGCTTATCATTTATTTGCTATCCTTCGATATTTTTCGGGTATACATTATGACAGACTATAGCACATCACCTACACTTGAGTCTGTATACCTCCTTGTTATGTTTTTGACCTAGACTGTAGCCAATTGTTATGACTTGATCAAGGTCGTCGCTGATTCGTTATGACCTTACGAATTTAACAAGGACGTAATCCGCGTAAATTATCCACCAATAGAATACGCCTTCTACGTCCTTCACACTGTGACAATGACGTTCGATTAGTATGAGTAATCTAGCGTCCTTATTGGTCCTTATCCGCCTAACCCGTCCACTTGAGTCCAGAACACCAATAGCAGCTGCTGTGATGCGAATCGTTTATTTCAAACATACTTTATCTATATACCAGACAGGCAGACCACACCATAAAATAGAAAATAATATTTGCACAAAACCAGGCCAAATGAGGCTGTAAGCGTGGGAGACAATAATCAATAAAACTGAGCATAACATCGGGACAGTAAATCATATAGTAATAATCAATAGGTCAAAATGAAGCTAGTAATAAGATGAATATAGATATAGATAATCCAGTTACTGAATAAGTATACCATAGGAATATAAATAGATTAATAGTCTAATAAGAGGTCCCGTAAGTTATCAGTACTTACTTTTTCCTAGTATATAACACTCCTAATGTTGTTTCTCCCTTTAATTTTCTTATTTAAGTGTCACTAGGTCAGTAACAATTTGTCCATACCTTATTATGTTACAGCCTGCAAACATATTCCTCATACTAGTTTACACGTTAGTTTTCTAAATTGCTTAGTGATTCAGTCGCTTGCCCATATATAGTGTGCTTCTTAAATCCTATTCATTCGTTCGCGTTCCCACTTCTCGTATTCGCTTCATGTCCCTGTGACTTTGTGACCCGCGTTGTACGGTAATAAACTGTAATCAACGCTTTGTGTTGTCTTCTGAACTTTATACAGCGTTGGGAGTTGTTTAATAATGGCTATCAGGGAGAGTGATATACGAAAAATAGGAATTATCCCTAAAACATTCCACTACAAGCCATGCATATAAAATCACATAAACACATATTTATGTATGGTATTAAGGCTTTTATTCGCAAAGCGAGAAATATTTGATACAACCGTTTGTTGAAAGGGTAAAACACTAATTAACTAACCAACGATAGATCAGTTGATGTAGGAGAATAATTTTGAAGCAGGTTATAAGTTTCATTGACTGAAAGATTTATACTCGAGTGAGAACGCGGAATCGAGCTATTACGTATTGTCTTAGACTGTACATCTTTTCTACAAACAGAAATGGGAAATTAACACACATGAAAAATGTAAGGTAAGATTAACAAAGGACGAAATCCCTAAATGTTACACGTAGTGGTAAGCCAGAGAATCATTTGTAGTGACTTATTAACAGTTGAATCGTATTGTGAATTAATATGACAGACTGATACAAACTATTATGTGACCTTATCTAACCTTTACAAGTTTATTTGTAACGTTATTGGTTATATAAATACCCACATATTTATTCTTTAACTTCCTCTACCTCAATGCTTTCATTGAGAACAAGTCTGCTTAAAATAAACCTACTACCACATACTACTTGTTGCGTGACTTATTATTATACCCGAGAAAAATGTAGTACTAAGGTGTTGATGTCACTAAACGGCACGAAGTTAATCTAGAACAGCAATACTAAAGACTGATCGAAACAATGAAATTTCATCTTATAAATTACAATCCCTAGTGAACAACTATGGGTTCATAGTGGACAGCCTACAGAATTATATATGGTTGACTTGATATATACAGGGAATGGGCTACTAAGGTTATGAATATTACTAAAGGAATCAGGCATTTCAGTATTATTTGGTACAAGGGGGAACCAAATACATATGCGCCACACAATAACGATTAGGCCATCAGTAGTTATCATTGATTTGTGTGAGGGCCGTGATACTGACCGGGTACCAAAACAGAAGCAGATGGTTCTCTTAGGGAGCCACTCCCCGAGCCTTTAACCTAAAGGTCTAATCCACAAATAAGCGGAGAAACTTTAGGAGATGCAGTCCCATGTTAGCCAGTGACCAACGATAGGTTCATACGTCTTTTGTTTCCTCAGGATCCTGGAGCCCATGTGCAACATTGATTTGGATCCAGGGTTTACCAACTCCCCTAAGTGAACCCTCCGTGTCCACTAACCCGATCAAAGCGCCTGACATTCGCTTTCGGTCCTCTCAACTTTGAAAAGGAAACTACTAAAATGCCTGAAATTTAAAGCTTCGAGAGAAATTTCGAAATATAGAAACGCTGATAGAGCAAGTACATAAAAACAAATGAGGGGATAAGATTTATTGGGTTTGTTTAATTTCTTCCTTCCATATCTTTTCAAAACATTGTAACCTCAATAGGTGTATTTTTTTATAATAAAAAAATACCGAATTGTTGTCATTGCCCGCTTGTTCGACAACTTTTCAACGTAAAAATCGTGGTAAATTTAATTATTAGAATTCTATTCCAGATGATATGTTATGGAAAAGTGGATGTATTTTTTTGAAAAAAACACACGCTTCGTTTACCTTTTCAAGGGACGAGATGTTCTTTTACGCAACAAAACAGGGTCCACTAATTCCTCATCAAATATAAGAGTATCACTGGTACAACTGAAGTTCACATGATGTTCCTATAATGTTCAACAAAAATACAATATTTGAATGATTACATCGTGTTAATAGTTTAAACTTAGATTGTACTAACTTATACACCACGTAGGTTATTCATATAAAATTCAAATATCCGATAAACGACAGACTGTGAAATAACACTGATGAGATCGAAATTGCATGGAACTCAATTAACACTAGACAAATATTCATCTCGCGTGGCCATACATGGAAATGGACTAGACATTTCGGTAACGTGCCTATATAATATTTTATATTATACATATCAATAGCTGTTGAATACAAACTTGGTAGGAAAGACTTAACTCTCCATATTACAAACGCAGATTTATGATTAGCTCTTAGATTTATGACGTTCTAAAGTATCAATATAAATGCCGATAAACAAATAAATATACATTAACAAAAAATGGAAATACAGAACAACACCAACTTTGGTAACGACAACAAATATGAGCATTGTTAACATAGTCTACTTACAACTATAGTTATATAATCATCATAAAATAAAAATAAGTCACAAGTTTCATTATTTTGTAAAACATGATAAACGTGAATCGTAGGATTGATTAGAAACATTAAATTACTAAATAAGCAAAGATGATTTATTTCATATTTCCAAAACAGCAGTACTTTCAAATAAGCCACAATTGAAACTTCGAAAAAATAATAACTATTAACTGGATATTATATGAATATTTATACGATTATTAGATGAGTCTTTTACAATGTGCCCAGGTACTTTCACGTAGCTGGGCACCATAATCGATAAACAAGGAGGATACGATGCAGACAAGAACTGACAAAGCAAGAAATGCATTCCTACAGTTGAAGAACACACGGAACTTAAAACAACTGTAAATCAAAATCTTCAATACGAACGTCAAGACAGTTCTACTATACGGAACTGGAACTTCGAAAACTACCACAACTATTACCAGAAAAGTACAGGCATTCATGAACAATTATCTAGGCAAGATACTCCAGATGCGATGACCGGATACCATCAGTGACAACCTGCTGTAGGATAGAACAAACCATCATCCAGCTGAAGATCAAAGTAGGAAAAGACTCTGGAGGTTGATAGGACATAAATTGCGGAAACCACCGAACTACATCACGAGGCAAACGCTAGCTTGGAATCCTGCAGGGAAACTGAAAAGAGAAAGACCAAAGCGCACACTGCGTTGAGATTTGGAAACAGACATAAAAAGGGATGAATAGCAACTGGAAAGGAGTGTCCAGGACAGAGTTGGATGGAGAATACTGGAGGGTAGCCTATGCTCCTCTACATGGGGTAACAGGCGCAAGTAAGTATTAGGAATACGAACTCCGCTGAGGCAAATTTTAATTTTTCCATATGGCAGGAGTTGGAACTAAACAAATTTGAAAATGATCATTCGAGTTTTCATTAACTTCTTAAAAAATATATTTCTTATCTATTGTAATTATGTCGTTCTGATCTAAAATTAACAACTCTGCAGAAAATAGGAATCTCTACATAGAATAAATGGGATGTGGTTAGTAGCAGTGGAATCCAGACCGTGCATTTCATCTTGTTAAAGACTCGTCAGCTGGATGTACATGCATTCCAATGTTGATGTCCATTAAGGGACTCAAATCCCATTGTCTGTTCCCAACGACAACGCAATCCGCACAGGATACCAAGCAAGATTGACCGAATTTCAGTCAATATATTAAAAACGGATTAGTTTAGATCATCAGAAACTAAAAGAAAACAGGTGTTGTAAGAAAATCCAGAATAATTAACAATTTCAAAACAGAATGGTGTAGTGAAGCATTCCTAATAATTACGTAGTAAACTTATACATCTATATTACATTATAATCATCGTTTTTAGTAACTATTTTATCTGTTTAACACATATTCGACAACTTACAATGAAACTGGGTTTTGTTCTTGAGTTATTAGAAAACAAGTGATTGTTTGTAGAACTATCCCATTTGGAAAAATAAGAATATTATTGACTATAGTTCAAATTAGGTATACAATTATTTCGTATAAAAAAACAACAAGAATTTTAAGCATTCATGTTATAGAAATACAACAGAATAAAGATTAGTAATTATCGATTTTTGATATGATCAAGTTGACACTGACTTTTTCACATGTAGTAGAAGAACGAAATCTATACATGTAATTAGGTACTAAGGCTTTTTCTCGCAAAAGATCTTTTATTGGGAAACGTAAAATTTATATCTATATAAAAAAATATTACTAAGTCATTTTACAACACAGTAGGTTATTTTTATTGACTGAAACTAACTATAAACAAAATATGTTCGGAACTAATGAAACATACACACAAATTTTCGGCAAAGTTCAGACTTAATAAATAAACGACTTTTGAATTCTTCGTAAATTATGAATAGTGTGTCTAATTTAAGGCAACTAACCTCGTTAGAGATGGTATCCTGTGACTGATCTTCTGATTTTTCTATGGAAGAAAACGATTTGTGTACCTTGCTGACAGTTTCTGGTACAAGACCTAGTTTCCATTTTAAAATAAACAAAATATAAATGTAATGTTTTCTTAATTATTTGTTCTCTTCGGTCAGTCCATAAACAATGTAAGACATGGTGCGAATGTGCATTGGCTAAAGTTCTCATACTACACGGAAACAAATACAAGAAATTATTGAACAAGGGAATAGAAGTAAAATTAGTGTTCTTGATACTAAAACAACAAGCCCGAAATAAGGTTCAGAAGGGAATGAAATCCATGAATAAAATCATATTAGCCCTCAAGATCGATCACAAATATCATATGGATATAGGAAGGATATACTCTTCATACGGCTTGGATCAATAGTTTGTCCGCTCCTAACTTAATTTCAAACTACTCCTGCGTCACTTAGCAATTCTCATTCAAGTGGGGAGTTGTCGGAAAGGAGTAAAACATGTCCAAACTACCTCAAAGAATGACAACTAACAGAAATATCGACTAATTTGCCACAATTACCTAGTAGCGTACGCCTAACATTAAAATTACCTACATGATGGTTCTAATATACACGAATAATGACACCCCGACAAGTCTGGCCAAATGCTACTAACCTACGTATGCTATCTCCCATCACATTCCATGTTTTATATCCGTAAAATAAGACGAAACGACAAAAAGACACCGCCCCCGCTAAACTCAAGTTGTTAAAAATCGAACGATCCTTTTATATCCATTAGTGCTTATAAAATAATGATAATGACAAATGAAGAAAGGTTTAAATCCGTTACAAGAAAGATAGGAGTGTTCAATAATGTATTGAATATTACTGGATTCGGTTGAAAGAAACCCTGAATCCAAACCAATGGTGCACACGGTCTCCAGGATCCAAAGGGAACAAATGGCGTATGGACCAATTATTGGTCACTGCCAATCATGGGACTGCAATCTCAGAACGTTGCTCCACTGCTTTGTGGATCAGACTTTTAGGTTGAAGGGTCTGGATGTGGCCCCCCAAGAAAACTACCTGCTCCGGTTTGGGCGCCCAGGAAGTATCACAACCCACACACAAACCGAATGATTTATATGGCGCATATGTATTCGGTGCCCATTTACACTAATATTTATGTGTTAAAATAAATAATAAGTAAAATAAATAAAACACTTACAGAATATGATGATCATGAATTTGGAAAAATATATACTGATAACAATTATTGGTACATAATAAAGTAATTGTTAATACTTTTAATAGTTTGCAAAATTTTTGGTATTTGGGTAAATGATATTCATTATAATTAGGAACTTGTATTTTTCTAATGAGAGAAAAAACAAAACAAAATTGCTATTAATGATGTCTAGCTGTTTAATGCTAATACCCATTACTCTCAGAAGGCTACTAGCATCAAATAGCTAAACATCGGTTAAAACAATTTTATTTTCTCATGCATTGGAAAATACAACTTTTACACCAAGAAAGTTACTACCTTACCACAGGACAGATCTTCTGAAACACTTTTAATATCATGAGTATTACTGTCGAGCAATTCGATAACTTTACTTCGAAGAACACTCTTGACATTAGATGATTTTTCATTAGATAATCCCAATTTAGTAAGGAGTAATTCAGCAGCAAGTCGTTTCGCTAGACGTTTATTATTCGCTTCAGGGCCTTGAATACACATGTTTGAGAATTCAAGCTAAGAGTGAAAACAAATAAAAGGCTTTACACCATGTGATGTGCAGAAATGATGAATTTTATCAAAAACCTTATGTACCGGTCAAATACAGAAAATCAATAAAAAGCCATTTCATTATATCTTAGACTCGTTAATAATTAGTTACAACAAGACAATAGGACATCAAAGCACTAAAACTTGATTTAACAAAGTGTAAGTTCGTATGCTTCACATTGATCTAAACTTTAGGTGTGTGACTTAAGGATGCTATTCAGCCACCAGGAACGAAGCGGTGAAGATTGTGTTTGAATTGGCGATCGATAGTTGAAATGTACATGTTTTGATCACACACCAAGTTCCCTTACCCATTTTACGATCAATTTTGATGTCTGATCTCGCCAAAACACCATCAATTTACGGACACTGAGATACATTGATACACTGTTTTTGACAGTAAATTTTTATTTGCAAAAAAGTAAAGTTTGCATGAGTGTAAAATTTATCCTTGCCCTGGTACGGCTGAGAATGGGGAGAGTCGGCTCTTCCTCTCTAAATGCTCTCACATGGCCATGTGCATACAACTGCCAGGAAAGTCCTACTCACTGCCTTCTCGCGGCGAGGGTGTTGCCCACGGAATTGAGAGGTCGAAAAGCGAATGTCCCGCGCTTCAACTGGGTTAGTGGATAGGGAAAGTCCACCTAGAGGATAGGGAAAGTCCACCTAGAGGATTTGGAAAACCCAGAATCCAAACCAACAGTGCAAATGAGCCCCAGTGTCCTAAGGAAACAAAAGGCGTATGAATCTAGTGTTAATCACCGGCTACCATAGGACTGCATCTAAAGTTGCTCCACTGCCTTGTGGATCAGATCTTTAGGTCGAAGGCTCGTGGAGTGGCCCCTTGAAAAAACCACCTGCTTCGGTTTCGGGCACCCGGGCAGTATCCTGGCCCTCACATAAATCGAATGATTTATGTGGCGCATATGTATTTGGTGCCTCCTCTTACCAATGTTTATGTGCTTAAATGAATAATAAATAAATATGAGTTGAAAAGGATGAATAACAACTGGAAATGATCGCTCACGACAGAGTTGGGTGGGGAATGCTGGTGGGCGGCCTATGCTCCCCTTCGAGGGGTAATAGGCGTAAGTAAGTAGGTAAGCGTTGAAATTCAAACACACAACTAGCATACGTGTGCATCTAATCATGTAAAATACGAGAAAGATTATTGGAATGAAATAGGTCTCATTATATTATTGTCAAATAAAAGGTTACATGAAAAAAACAGTGGAAGTTATACTGATAATAATCACAGAATGATTGATTCTTATAGTGACGATACTGGTAGTGATTCAACTAAAAAGTTATAATAAGAATACATCAAAGTAGTGTAAATATTGTTGGGAAAACTAAACCTTTATAATCATTTTGAAAATTTCAAGTGATCATGTAAAGTCTCATATGTACGAAGAACTGATCATGATTAAAACACAGTATATTTTAAAAAATATGCCAGAACACTTGCAATACTAGATCATAATAGCTGACCACAAGGTTACCGATGTATAATCAACTTAAACACGGAGAAATAGCTGATTCTTTAATGATTAGAAAAATTTCAACAATTATTTTGAAATCATTGAAATCCAAAATATGATAAGATGATACTGAAATAACATATTTTTTGTGATTTACTAAGTATACTTATCGTTTTATACTCGCCTAGACACCGGTCATTTATCGTTCAGTTAGTAAATAAGCTAAAATTATTACATCTTACTCACAACCCAGTGAATAATAATACTTATGATTATTGAATAATCTTCTTTAGGTACCTGAATAGTTTACAAGATATTCTCTGTCGACCTTCAGTAATCATATGGTAAGGATTACACTAGGTAGTCCAATTAAATGTAAAGAATTTTTTTTAAAAAAACAAGCAGAAGTTGAATAATGTAAACATGTAGGCACAATCGCTAATTAATATCGAATTAAATTAATGTTCTGTTTGAAATCGAGTGATTTTAATAAATATCAAACATGTTCTACCAAGATAAAAACCTGTCAGATTTCGATTTAACAAGTCTACCATCTCAAAGTCATTCAAAAAGGACAGAGAAAGAACACAGTAAAACATATAGTATAATGAGATGCATTAGCATGGAAAAATAATTACGTAACTGGTAAGTGGTGAAAAGTAGGTTATATCGGCGAGACTGTAATATATAGACGAACCAATCAGATTTAAGATAGGTCTTAGACTTTGACACGAGATTCATCCACCCATTTAACTAAATACCATTTCGGCATTATAGCTGACGTCAGTTCGTGACGAAAACATTGAATATAATTTCTAGCCCTAACGTTTAACTGCAAATCCTAATCCTAGTTCCTCTCACTAATTTATAACTCTTACTTAACCCTAGTAAGTAGATGGACATTTTCATGGTCATCTTAGCGTTGCTCAAAGGTCGTCCATAAATAAGTCTCACCGTAATTTCTATTTGTTACCGAAATTGGTATTCACAAATGAACAGACAGATAACATAAAATTAAACGACATCGTTAGCTTTATAGTTTCCTGTAATCATAAATGCCTCATATATTGGAAAACTTTCCACCTATCTACTAACCTGATAGATAAATGGAGGACGACCGGGTGCTAAAGATTTATGTTCTCCACTTGGTAATTGATCATTTAATAATGTATATTTTACTTTATCCAAGTTATTAACAATTCTGAAAGATTCCAATCTACACACGGGATGTACTGATTCATCAAAAGCACGATGCTGAATAAATTGTAGTTTGATCTGAAAGTAATAATGTATATATTCAAAATTAAATAATTTGAACCAAGTAAACTGGTGTAAGATAGAAACAAATCTTTCATGTTGAACAAAAATGACTCTACTTATCAATGAATTTACATTTTCTTTGTTTACAAAAAATGCCTTATTTAAAATATACTGACCTATCAAAGAACACAAATGATGGATTTGTAAGAAAATCCAGATCATATTGCATTTTGATTTCTATTAGTAGTGTTTTGACTTATGCATCGAATGTCAGTCAAGGAGCACAATACTTCACATAGTTTATTACAGAAACTACTGGGTGTTTTTTTTATGTCTTCATGTGAAAAGATAATTATAATAATTTATAATTAAGCATCACACATCAAAGTTGATTTAATTCAATTGAAAATAAAATCAATAAATAAGGATGGTAAGCAGAGATGGATAGTGGCTAGCAGTGGAATCCAGGAAGAGCGTTTCGTCCTATTTGGGACTCGTCATCCATCTCTGCTTACAATGCTTGTGAATTAATGCTATATCGAGGCAATACGCACAGTATGCACATACACTAATTAGAGACTGACCAGTTGCAGGCCTAACACATCGATGGGAAGATTCAAACAAACAATACCAAATGAATTTAATAAATAAAGATGTTTGGATAAAAGATTAACTTATAAAGCAAGAAAGTAATAACCGTTTTCCCTTTTTAGACATACTTTTGAGTCGAAGAGAGGATGGAACTATAAGGCGGTCAGTTTATAGGAAGCCAACTTAGACTTCAGTACTTAAATTCCTACAGTTTCTGACCATTGCAAAACAAGCGAGGCTTGGTTAAGTACCTCTTTAATAGGATTCAAAGAATATAGGCCACAGATAAGGTTGAAGTAGACGCAAAACTGCCGACTGACATATTAGTATAGGATGGTTATCTGCTAAATTTTATAACTAGGTGCAAAAATCAGTCGACATCAAAACTTCTCGTTCATTCTCTTTCGAAGAAAACTTTATATATCTCTACCATTTAGAGGTACCCGACCGTTGCTGCTACCTTGACGTGGTGGTCGGGCTTGCATATCGTGATGAGCCAACCGAGCTATGCTGGCTGGAACAATCGTTCCTCGAGGTCCAACCATACCAGACAGGTCGTAGGTTATTGGTGTTCGATCATAGGTGTCTTCGAAGCATTGCTCGTATATCCTGGGACCATCGGGTAAGTAATGCAGATGTTAGGAAACTGATACTAGGTAAGGATGGCAAATCGATTGATGAAGTGGTGAAACTTCATCAGTTGAGATGGCTGGGACATGTGTTACGTATGCCCAACCACCGACTGCCCCCTGCAATGCTTTATGGCGTAGGAGTAGGTTGGAAGAAAGCTAGGGGCGGCCAGACCAAAACATGGCATAAATCCATGAAGTCGCTGACAAGTGGACTGAGCCATATTGGTAGGTGTAGACTACCTGTTTGGGATTCACGAGATGATAGCAACCGATGGTTAGAGACTTTGAATGACATGGCTCAAAATCGTTTGCAATGGCGAAGGTGCATACACTCTTTGTGTTCTACAAATTCTAACTCTCTAAATTCCTATCCTTTTTCTCTTTTCAAATTTATCTCACTGTATTATACTCCTAGAATAGCATCTTCAAACCCTAATCTTTCACATAATACTTATACTCTTACTACTTCTACCACAATGGGATTTGAATCGACAACTTCATCTCTGTGCTAATGTGGTATGGCGACTCGAACTGATGTACGTACGTACGAAGTTCTACGTTGTAACTGACTGACTGACTGACCATTTAGAGGTGAATCTAACAGTATGGTTTTAAGACAAAGACTAGAAGCAGCCACCAATAAAACCAATTACGCTGCTAGACTGGTTATGATTGAAAGGACTAAGTACATGATCCAAAATAGATAGACAATGCACGGACGGTTACGTCACGTCTCATTGTATTCACCAATTTAAATGTTTGTATGGACACATATATATAGGGAGGAGTAGTCGAACAATGCAACCAGGGGTTATGGAACATGTGTCTAGATGGCTTTAAAATCAGTTAATTTTAATTGTTCTGATAAACGTAGGAGGTAGAAAACCATATTCATCGACAGCGAAGCACAATATTGGAACGGGGCACAGAATTGACGTCAATACAGCTTTTAAAATGTTTCATAGAAATTGTCAAGGACGAACTCTCAGGTTCATAGAAGTCCTGGCTATTTGTAAATGCAAAGTCCCTTGATATGTACAAAAACAACTTGTCGTGACCCTGAATCTGCCGTAGTAATCCTTATGTCATTTTATTACTCTGCTTACTTGAACCTTCATTTAATTGACCTTAATTAATTTTTAAATAAAATGTCTTGATAAGTATATGTGTGGCCAGATTGTTCGAAATGTATGGCGCAAATAAATCACAACTTTCAGGTCATCTCCATCTTCTTATTGTTCTATCGAAACATATTCATAATTTTATTGATAACCTACATTTCACTTGAGATTCTAATCCAAGATGTAGAAATCTCTTTATTTGATAAATGTCAGGATATGTGTCAGTATAATTTTATTTCATTTGAACTAATTAAAACTACTCCATTAAGTATTAGTTAAGGCTTTAAAAATAATCATATGTCATGAGATGAATAATTTCAAAGGTGGAACTAACATCATCTATCGAAAATTAATTACGCAAATCCCTAGCGTAATAAGGATCGTAACAAATGAATTGAAATGTTTAGGTCTAAATACTGTGAAACTAGAAACCTCTCTCACTAACCGCAACATTAAACGTTTCTCGACATCAGTAACTAGATTTAAAAAACATTTGTCTGAAAATAGTCGGTAGAAAACCCTGTATTATTCTTTTTGAGAAAACTGTTGTTGCATTGTGGAAATTGGACTGACAACTTCCAGACACCTAGTAAAGCAGACATAATTGTACTAACACCTAAAACTGGAACACGGTCTATTTAATGGAGAATGGCTAATTATTTATTTTTTTAAAAATCAAACATACTTTACATGGTTTATGATTTTGTTTACGAACACCTTTTGATGTAACATCATATTGCTTATCATAAAATGGAATTGTTGAACATTTGTTCTCAATTTTATTCATATTATTCAGCATTGATTGAGCTGCAGCATTTTGTGCTTTTTTAGCTGAGATAGACCTATTTTCCGTATACTTCCAACCATCTAATAAGCATATACACGTAAATTTATTTGGTTCACAATTGGTTAACTTTTGGATCTAATCAACATGTGCAGAAGTACAAATAATATTAGAAATTAATTAGTAAAAGAAATGATTGCAAACAACATTAACAAACACGAATAAGGCAATAAATATTAAAATATTTTATAAAGCATTACGATGTTAAATAATATTGCATAACATGACTGGAAAATAAAGTATTACATTGACTGATATATAGTTTGGATCAAATTCTAGTGTGTAGATTAGATCATAGCAGAAAAGCCTTTCGTATTGAATGAAAGGATCAGTAGCCTCGTAGTTTCAAATGTAGTTAGTTGTAAAATGTCACCAGATATGAAAACTAAATAAAATGCTCCTGATTAACTGTTTCTAATATATCTATTGATTAAACCTGCAATAGTAGGTGAAAATATTTAGACTTCGAAACTATTTTATATTTGATGACTGAACTAAATAGTTTAGAACGATTAAGTAATCTGAGTTGGTGATCTCTTGAAATGTCAACGGTAAAGTTGAAGCATGAAAGGACGAATCACATATCTGATGCAACTAACTTGTTAATTAAGCAAAGATTGGTATGTTAGGAATCGACTAATACTTCCGTGTCCAACGGATTAGTGAAGCTATTTCGTCATATAAATCGAAATAAGCAAAGTGAAGTTTGCTGATTACACAGATAAGATTGGATAGTCCGATAATATTTAGATTAAATGCCCACCACTTCAGACTCATTTAATCTCAAACTGGTTACTGCTATTTTTTTTTATTCAACTACCAACCGTGAAATTATTTCTTTTTTATGAACATGACTAGTCCTTTTATTGATTTATTTTTAGTGTCCTAACTGCCGTTAAGTAGGTGTGTTTAGTATTTTGTCTCTAACTGAACATGCTATTCTACATTTTCGCACTGACTATTTTGATCTATGTCTTAGAAACAAATCATAACTGTTGGCAAACACACATAGTTAATTGTTTTGACCATAGGCCTGTTAAGACTCTATGTGTGACAGTATAAAGACTTGTTCGGATGATTCATTTGTAGGCAAATTAAATCCTACAGGGTTCAAGCTGAAACCCGATAGCTCTAAATCAAGTACTTTAGCCGATAAACGACCGTTTGATAACATACCTAACGTTAAGATTCAACAGATTTGTTATAACGTATGGACTTTTTACCTGAGAGAATGTAAATATTATTATGGGTTCTAAACAACATATTTCACCCTGGTCCACCAGGATGTTTGGTACCTGAGTGGTTGCGCCACAGGATTGGGCTGAGCTGTTCGGATTGTAGCGCTGAAGCCTTTATAGTGTCTGGTTCTCCTATAGGGCGGGATTGAGTTGTACTGTTTGGGTCGCCGCGTGAAAGTCTGGATGGTGTCTGGTTCTCCTGAAAACCAGTGCAAGATAACCCTGGTCCTAATGAGTTTTGTAAACACTAATATTACAAGATATGATATTAATAAGTAGTATTCCAGAATCAAAATTCTTAAGAATTATGTAATTGAAGTTCATGATGTGATGTCCATTACGAATTATGAATATGTTAGAATAAGGATAATTTTTCAGTAGTAGACATTAAGAACTAAACTTACCACCGATGTATAGGAAGGATTCAATGAATTTTTAACGTTGTATATGATATGAGAGTAAAATTGCAATATAAAATAACTTATAATAGATATTTGTTCATAAAATGCTGTTCATTAGTGAGTTGTTACGCATTTTGTCAGTTTCGTATGAATTTTGTAAGTTACTTTATATATCATGAGCATCAACTTAATTAGTTTTCGACTTGTTATATCTGACCAAAGTAGCCTGTGATTGATTAGGGAGTGGAGAGAGAGATATGTATGATAAATTATATCAATAACTAATTATATTGTAATATATGCACCTCTGGCTTTTTATGCTTTATATTAATAAACTCTTGATTTCATCTAAACCTAGTTCTTTAAAGAACAGTAAGATTATTGAATCTGAGTATGACAAGTAAAAAATTCAACCCTGATGTTATAACGTAGATTTTTGGATAAATTGAGACATAAATTGAGAGATAAATTGAGCACCTACTCGAAGGTAGCTGTATCAAACCAAGGATTGAAACTCGGAAGAATCTTAAAAACCGAGTATCAGTGGTAGTGTTTGTAAGTATGACTGCTAGCACTAAAACAGTAATAAAACGTTTTAATAAAGTTTGTCGAAACATCTCAAGGTTCAAAGCTCGTTCCTTTAAAACAATACAGTATAAGTTACTCAGTTTTGTAGATGTTTTAAATTTGAAGACGGCTTTTATAACTACAGATTCATATTGAGTGAAGAAGAATTCGAAAATAAGGAGCAGCAGGAATTTTTTTCTTAATAGTTGCAAGTTCTCAAAGAACGTGTATCCACTGAATTGTTGAATGATACTTTGTTTAATTATCAGACTTAGAAGTCTTTCATTCAACTCTGTGTGGAATCGCCGCTGTTTAATTACAAAAAACTTGACGAAATATCCTTCTTTAGGATTATTGTCAGAAAGGGGTTTTGTGGATATTATAGTAATTTAATAGTTGAGTTCATGAGTCAATTGAAGCTAGACCACTGGACGGCCGTTCAGTGCTCCAACGTTCTTTAGGATTCTCCAAAAACGATAACTAATTTTGACATAAAAGGGAATGACATACAGAATGTAAAGCACTTCTCTGAATTTGGAAAGGGCTTCAACCTTAAATGATCAATATTCGATGCACTGATAGTGAAATTAAACGTAGTGTGAGGCAACCTTTATAGAAATCTACCTAGATAGTCTGATCTTCAAGGAAATATTAGCAAGGGACTATGGTATAGCAATAAAGTCTACAAGGATAAAAGCAAAGCATATTGTATTTGTTAATTTCATTTGCGTTCTCTGACTTCATTCTCTCTTCATCCGACTCATTAGTATGTTACTTTACCCTACTTGCTAATATTCAATAACCAGTTCCATTTCTAATAATTTCTGGACGTGTGGTGTGACGTACGTTTATTTGTCATGTAGTATGGTCATACTTCAAATAATCCTCTCATACATGGATTGTGAATACAGCTGCTTCTCAGACCTTCCGTATGTAAAACTGTTAATTCTGCAGACTGAAAACAAGTCTAGACGAAACTGTTGGGAAAAAATGAAACCGATTGACAAAACAAAAATGTATGAAGACTTGGACACTTATTTAAATAGAAATATGCATTAATAATGTTCTTTTCACCTTAAAAAATGGCTGAATGAAATGTAGACCGGCGAGAATACGCAATCTCCAAACTGATGATTTTGGACGAATACACCGATAAATGTATATATTGTCATGATCGTTCTGTTCTTTTTTCCTTAGTTTCTGAGTCTTGATGTAAGACAACAATGACCGACGAAGAGCCTACATTAATGATCATAAAAACTAATTTTATTAACTGCAATAGTTATTACAAAATAACTCGTATCGATGATAAGTTTTACTAATGCAGAAAAAGAGATAAAGATCCGACAGATCAACAAATTATTAGCACGGAACATGAAAGCAGTCCAACACTTCTCATTTTATTCCAGCATCACCCTCATTCCTTAAGGATAAATGCAATCATATAACTAAAACTAAAAAAAACCATCTATTTGAGGATGTTATTTAACTCTAAAGTCAATTGGGAAACATTTCATATTACAGTTTAATGTAATTGATTTTTTTACTCTATGCAACAGTAGGATGAGAAATTTCATACAAGTCATCTAAAATGTAGATTCTCGAAGAAAACTGAATTTAGCTCCCATTCTATACTTTGTCACAGTTTTACTTCAAATAGATACTTCATTAAAATTATTCTCAGAAAAAATCTATTGTCTCGAATCTAGGTTATTCAAAACGTTATTACGGTTGAGTCGAATAATAGGATTGATGGAATAAATCAGAATGGGCGAACAGATATCTTAAACTGATCACAAAAAGGTAATGACTACTGATTCCTACTAGTCGTACTCAACAGGTATCAGCTTGTTTAAGACAAAGTATTCATGAAGATATTGCTAAAGACAATTTTGACCGGTCAGCACAGATTTTTAACTATAAGTGGTGAAAACAACTCACTGGAATCATTGAGCTAAATTTGATAAACACCGTGAATTTCCTAAATAGTTTAGACGAGTCCCCCCAACTGGACGAACAAACCATGATTAGCTGTATAAAGGTAAAAACTTGGCATAGGCGGTAAAAGTTAGTGGAGTTCTAAAAATTAAATCACTTGCAACTCCGATGACGATATACAGTGAAAGAACGCGTTCTATTCAGGATTTTTATAACGAGATTATGTTATACTGGACGGTTATTTCTAATAGTATCTACGCAACAATCCCAACACAACATGAAAAGCATTAAAAGACTACTTATCCGACAATATTCAAAAGCTATATCACCTCAGATATTTAGGATACATATTTACCCATAGCCGACAAGTGTCCCATTATATTTACAAGATATAACATTAATTTATGAAATCTATAAACAGGCCAAGGGGGCGCATATGGCGGATTAGTAGTTAAAAAACTCGGACTTCAACCGACAGGACCTGCGTTTAAAATCTACTACTCCATTCTACTGTTTTTTGCGAGGTCAGGCAGTATCCCTAACTCCCAGGAAAGCAGTGTAGTTTAAAGCAGAGTATACAGACCACCACCTGCTAAATGACTAGACGTCTAACCAGAAGGTTCAGACTGAGCTTAAAACATCAGTCAGTATCGATCAACAACGTTGGTGCAAATAAACTAAAAATAAGAAAAGGTTCTATGGTTTCAACCTCTTTATCCTAACTTTACGAACCAAGCTTCTCAGTCGATTATAAGAAATACATTTGGTTTCTATTTTAAATGTCCCTCCGATAAAATTGCTGTTAAAATGCAACAGATTTTTCAATCCTAAAATGAAAATCCCTTGTTAACTTCGCTAGATAACTAAGCAACAAACAAATAGGATAATTTAATCCATCCTCTTATTGAGTACTTTATGGGAATTGATAGAATTTTTGATTAAAAAAAGGATAAAGTTGGAGTAGCAAGAACAAATTAGAAAAGGTAATTAAGGTCCGAAACTTCCCTCTTATTCGTCATCTCTATTTTTAACACCTTTCTCACTTTCTACAAGACAAACAGTCAGGCACTACCAATAATGCTGGATAAAATGTGGCTTATATAAATACATATCAGGTACAATAAAACCAATGAATATAAAGTGATAAAAACCTTTAACCAATGTAGTAGAGTCGAAACATCCAAAGGTAATTATCCTCACATTGATCAAGTCATATATATACGTACCATTAAAGCTGATAAACATGATTCTTGTTCAGCACCTGATTTGGTGGTTGAATTTCCAACATATTGTCGACCAACAATCTCTGCTGTCGTTCTATACATGATGGGATGCTATCGGATAAACAGGAACACAGAAAACAAAATTCAGTTATTTACAAACCAGAAATCAAACAGTACATTTTTCAAATAATCACAGGTATTTTGAGTAAACAAACTTATTTAACAAGTGTAAACCATAATAAGATTTTGGAAACATCGAGGACTTACATCAAATCAAAAAAATTCTTAGAAAGCCTGTGGTTAATTTCTACTCTAAAATTAGGTCAATTAAAAATTATACAGAATGAATAAGGTTAAATATCAACATAAAATTTGGATTCGATCATGATAATTAAGTCAAAATCCGTGTGATAACTTCTTCAATAAAGAATTTGTTAGATAACTAGACGAATCTGATGACTTTTAGCATAACATACTTTTCAAAATGATACTGAAATATCTCGATAATGGAACAAAATCATGAAGAATTTAAAATCATCACCAAACTGAATTTGAGATTTTCAGGACATAATGACAGGAGACTAATTATCAAACAATTAAAACCAACTGAAAGCAGCATTCTGCAAAATTCGGTCAAACTTACTACATTCTTGAAATCAGTTGAGAACACCTGACTTACAGTAAAACAAAAAACCAATTCTGCCACAAGCATATCCAACCAATTACATTGTATCATGGCTTTCAGATAATAAATAATGTGATGATGAATCGTAACATTTTACACAAATATGAATATCAAAGTTAATTTTACCAATGTGAGCTATACATTTTGATAATGACAAGCGAAAAATGACGCTGACAATTTAAAACCTAGTAAATAATTATGTAGTCTAAGCTCATGGATTGAGTAAGCAGGAGTGATCATCAGTAAAACTTACTAACCTGTGCTTTTTGGAAGTAATGACCTAAAAATTTTAGTTTGATGAGGGAGTAAACGTCAAAAATTTTCCAAAACTACCACAATTTATAAACAGGAGGGTGAACAAGATAAGGGATATTCCCTACATATGAATACTGAGAATAATTTTTTCAAAAACCTAAAAATCAACAAAATATATTACGGACCTCCGAAAAGTAAAACGTCACAACAGTGTTGAAAAAAATTATCGTTAGACTGAACCGTGACCATCAAGAGGGTTGCTTTCTAAGATAAATTAGTCAGTCATCTACAACGTAGGACCAGGTACACATATGCATCGGTACAAGTTGCCATACCTCATTAGCACAACAAGATGAACACCGGATTCATAGAAGTAGCTAATTTAGTGGTGGTAATATATAAAAGATAGCTTGTATATAAGGATATAGTATAAAAAGGAAAAAAAAAGTTATGAAGCAATTTTAATCTCAAGATTTAAGGGAAGATAAAGAGTGTATACACCTGCGCCATTGTGATCGATTCTGAGCCATGTCACCTAGACTCTCCAACCATTGGTTACGATAGTCACGCGGACCCCAACCAGGTAGTCTGCATCTACCAACATGGCTCAGACTAGAAGTTTGTGACTTCAACGACTGATGCCACGTTTTGGTTTGGACGCCCCTGACTCTTTCCAACCATCCCCTACACTAGTCAGCATAGCGTGTCGTGGTAATCGGTGTTCAGGCATACGTAACACGTGGCCCAGACATCTCAGTCGATGAAGATTCACAACCTTATCAACTGCTTTATCATCATTCCCTAATACCCTGTGTCTAACTTCACCATTACTTACCTGGTGATCCCAGCAGATGCGAGCAATATTTCTAAGACATCTGTGGTCAAATACTAGTAACCTACGAGTATCTTCTACTCTTAATGGCCATGTTTCGCAGCCATAGAGTAAAACAGAACGAACTGCTGCGCAGTATACTCGTCCCTTAATCGATAGACGGATATCTCGTCTTCGCCATAGGTGACGTAAGTTGGCAAAAGCCAAACGAGCTTTTTGAATCCGTGCTGAGATTTCGTCAGACACCAACCCATTAGGGCTGATCAGACTTCCAAGATAAGTGAAGTTGTCGACGCGTCCGACTACTTCACTCAGGTGTTGACACAGGCCAATCCTGGAGTAACAATTTACATTCAGAGGGGAAGTGGTAAATATACTGCAATAATTTGACAGATATAAACAATAACACAAAATATAAATATTTCTTACAAAACTATTATTGGCATCATCCACTGAATGAACAAATTTCACTTTTGATCCAAGTAAATTCAGCAGTTGTCTGAGCTGCACTTTTGGAGCTAAAGATGTTGGATCAGAATTGATCAAAATAATGAAAGGATTGGCCTACATATGAAATATGAAGAAAGCATAAAGACATACTTGTAAAAAATTTATAACAAACAAATTATTATTAATTCATTTAGATGTCGAATGTATGAATTCTAATGTCATTGATTTAGAATTAAAGTAACTTAATTAATCTGATAGAAGTTCATGTACTCGATTTTGTGGACCATTCTTATTTATGATTCAGTGACACTGAGTTTCTAGCCAAACCATAAAGAGTAGAATGAGGTTCAAACATGCGACGTAATAGTTAAACGTGTAGCATTTTAATTACTAAGCGATTGCAAAACACCTGACTTAATGAAATAGTTAGAAAATGTAATTCTTGCATGACTTACATTTCGCGGTATTATAAACTGTCCTCCAGTTTGTAGATCCTCATTGCTTGAACTAGCATTGTACTTGAATAAAATACAAGTTTGCAGAGCACTTTCAGCAGCCATCCGTCTAGCTTCCTTGACACTGCTTCCAACACCATAATATATCTCAGAACTTTTTAGACTATGGTGATTTATAATAACACTAACACGAAACACTTTGTTATTGAATGGACCACTTTCTTCACAAGTCCAGGATAAATCTATTTTAAGCAGATGAGCTTGTTTGTTAAGAACAAAAACTGGAGATATATTGATAAAAGTCTTTGAATCAAATGACATCCAAACTGTTTTGGATTTTTACACAGCTGCTATTCGGTTAGATATCCAGTCGTTTACCGTAACAGAATAACAGTGCACTAAAGAAGAAAAACAATACTTCGGTTACCGTTAGGTAGGGGTAAAGGAAACCATAGAAGGTTGCCCATTTTACATTTAATGTAATGATATTAATAATGACATACGTATAAATATCCCATGAGAAACAGTGCAGTAAGTGAGTCATTACATCGTAAAAATGGTCCCGAAACATCGAGGGGAATAATGTCAAAATATAGTGTCAGTCAGCGACAACGTAGGACCAGGCACACATATGCATCGGTACAAGTTGCCATACCTCATTAACACAACAAGATGAACACCGGATTCATAGAAGTAGCTAATTTAGTGGTGGTAATATATAAAAGATAGCTTGTATATAAGGATATAGTATAAGAAGGAAAAAAAAGTTATGAAGCAATTTTAATCTCAAGATTTAAGGGAAGATAAAGAGTGTATACACCTGCGCCATTGAGACCGATTCTGAGCCATGTCACCTAGACTCTCCAACCATTGGTTACGATAGTCACGCGGACCCCAATCAGGTAGTCTGCATCTACCAACATGGCTCAGACTAGAAGTTTGTGACTTCAACGACTGATGCCACGTTTTGGTTTGGACGCCCCTGACTCTTTCCAACCATCCCCTACACTAGTCAGCATAGCGTGTCGTGGTAATCGGTGTTCAGGCATACGTAACACGTGGCCCAAACATCTCAGTCGATGAAGATTCACAACCTTATCAACTGCTTTATCATCAATCCCTAATACCCTGTGTCTAACCTCACTATTACTTACCCGATGATCCCAGCAGATGCGAGCAATATTTCTAAGACATCTGTGGTCAAATACTAGTAACCTACGAGTATCTTCTACTCTTAATGGCCATGTTTCGCAGCCATAGAGTAAAACAGAACGAACTGCTGCGCAGTATACTCGTCCCTTAATTGATAGACGGATATCTCGTCTTCGCCATAGGTGACGTAAGTTGGCAAAAGCCAAACGAGCTTTTTGAATCCGTGCTGAGATTTCGTCAGACATCAACCCATTAGGGCTGATCAGACTTCCAAGATAAGTGAAGTTGTCGACGCGTTCGACTACTTCACTCCCTATCCTTAGTTCAGGTGTTGACGCAGGCTAGTCCTGGAGTAACAATTTACATTTGGATGGGGAGAAACGCATCCCAAACATCCTGGCATTATTACTGAGTTCCAACAGAAGACTCTGCATTTTGTCAGCGCCTTCACCAAACAGGACTACGTCATCTGCGTATTCCTATCGCTTAGTGGTCCCCCCTGGTAGGAGATCAATTCCTGAAAATTCAGTCGACGAGAGTGTTATTTCCAGCAACAGGTCTATAATGAAGTTAAACAAAAACGGAGATAGTGGACAGCCTTGACGTCACCACTTGAGGTTGTAAAATCATATGACAGTTCGCCATAAGCTCTCACTCGACTAATAGTGTTCGAGTAAAGAGCCTTCACAAAGTTTATGTACTTCTCAGGTACACCTTTCAATGGCAGACACTGCCACAGAACCTCTCGGTCTACAGAGTCAAATGCTGCTTTCAAGTCAAGAAAAACTATGATTGTCAGACTCCAATAAGCGTGTCTGTGCTCTAAAACTTGACGAATGGTGAATATGTGGTCGATACAGCCACGACCAGGTCTGAAGCCAGCCTGATTTTCTCGTGTTTGCAGTTCACGAGTCTTAGTAAGGCTCAGATATAGTGATATTTGGATGGCTACTGTTCGTGAAAGATATCCCGACGAGAGATCCGTCTATCGATTAAGGTATGAGTATACTGCGCAGCAGTTCGCTCTGTTCTACTTTACGGCTGCGAAACATGGCCATTAAGAGTAGAAGGTAATCGTAAGTTACTAGTATTTGACCACAGATGTCTTAGAAATATTGCTCGCATCTGCTGGGATCACCAGGTAAGTAATGGTGAAGTTAGACACAGGGTATTAGGGAATGATGATAAATCAGTTGATAAGGTTGTGAATCTTCATCGACTGAGATGTTTGGGCCACGTGTTACGTATGCCTGAACATTTATCTCATCAAATGATCCTTTCAAAATGGAGCCTACATTTTGAGACTCTTATTCTTATCTTTACGTTATCAGTTTTTATAACTAGACGCTTGATTAATTTTCATACTATACTCATTACTTAAAATTACTTTTGAAGATAACACTAAATTCATATATATTATATTACTCACAGTTATTTAATTAGCATTGATTTTATATATTTTTGCAGATTTGTGGTGACGATGCTGAATTAAAACTATTTTTTTCGTCTAATTTGTACTTTTACCACCATAATGAGGCTTATTACAGACTTCGAATCTACCAAGGAACATCAGTATACTCAAAATTCTAAGTGTCAAATAGCACGAAAGATAGATCAAGCAGGGTGTCTTGTTGACTACCTTCAACCACTTGAAACCTAAATATAATGCACGGAAAGTCGAATCAATAAGACTAGTAGTGGCTAAATTATAATAAACATGACATTTGTCACTATTCGGTGACTTATCAATCGCACAACAACCTATATACAAAAGTATATTGTTACGTTACTTAAAAGTTTTATAATATATGAGGATTCAGTATACGCATATAAATAATGCATAGTGATAATGATGATAATATTTGAAACATTCAGACATAAAAGAAGTCAAACACTTAACATGTACAGTTTTATATAGTCAGCCTAGATCCGTTTTTAATCTAAGGGATAACGATAACTCCCGGCAGCTTGAACCAAAAAAGGGTCATAGTAGGATTCGAACCAATGGCCTATTGTTCGTGAGTTGATTTGTGTACACACTAAACCACCGCTTTACTAATAAATATTGATGAAATGGATAACGTTGTACATTAATTAGATTAAAATACCGTTTCCAACAAACTTTTTAATTTTCATATAGCTACAAATGTTGGAAGAAAGTTAGGGGCGGCCATACCGAAACGTGGCATCAGTCGTTGAAGTCACAAACTTCTAGTCTGAGCCATGTTGGTAGATGCAGACTACCTGGTTGGGGTCCGCGTGACTATCGTAACCAATGGTTGGAGAGTCTAGGTGACATGGCTCAGAATCGATCACAATGGCGCAGGTGTATACACTCTTTATCTTCCCTTAAATCTTGAGATTAAAATTGCTTCATAACTTTTTTTTCCTTCTTATACTATATCCTTA